GTGAGATTCCAGCGTTCGTACACCTGCGAGCCCCGCATATGCCAAACGAGATTCCAGTGTTCGTGCACCTGTGAGCCCCGCATACCCAAAGTGAGATGCCAGCGTTCGTACACCTGCGAGCCCCGCATACGCCAAGTGAGCTTCAGGCGTTCGTGCACCTGTGAGCCCCGCATACGCCAAGTGAGATGCCAGCGTTCGTACACCTGCGAGCCCCGCATACGCCAAGTGAGATTCCAGCGTTCGTGTACACCTGCGAGCCCCGCATACGCCAAGTGAGATTCCAGCGTTCGTACACCTGCGAGCCCCGCATACGCCAAGTGAGATTCCAGCGTTCGTACACCTGCGAGCCCCGCATACGCCAAGTGAGCTTCGGGCATTCGTGCACCTGTGAGCCTCGCATACGCCAAGTGAGATTTCAGCATTCCTGTACCTGTGAGCCCTGCATACGCCAAGTGAGATTCCAGCGTTTGTGCACCTGTGATTCCCGCGCACACCAAGGGAGCTTTCAGCGTTCCGGCACCTGTGAGACCCGGAGGAAATCCATGCAGACACAGGGAGAACATGCAAACCCCAGACAGCAGGGAACCAATGATCCTAGTGCTGCCAGGCGGAAGTGCTAACCCTTTAGCCACTGCGCAGCCCCTTACCATCTTCCTCCCCCAGTGCTACTCCCTAAAGCTGCAGGGGTGGTGGTGTAGAGGAATTATGCCCCCTGTTGCTTTTGGTGGCATAGCACCCCTCCCCCCAAACACAGACCCATTCATGTGCATTGGGAAGCTCTGCAAACACCCCACAACCATGTGCAATGCACAAAGCTGCAGCGCGCTAGTGCGGTGCTCAATGTGGTAAAGTAGGTGGTGAGGATGCATTGTATTGCCTGTCAAATGCTCTCTGAAGAGCGATCTGAATGCAGAGAGCAAGACAAGTGTGAGCGAGCCCTTTAAAGCTGCTGGCAGTGCACACCGACCATATAGGACAGCATATTGGTATATCGACACAATGACAAGTGTACTCGAGAGGTACAAAAAGGACAATTAAAAATCTGAGATATTTACTGATATTAATTTAAAAAAAAATTGAGCCACGTCTAAAAAGCCAGGAGGTGGTGGTGGTGGTGGTGGGGGGGGGGGCTTGAGGTCAGGGGTCATCCCAACTGGGTGTAGAAATAGAACAATTAGCAGATCTCCTGGTCCCTGAGCTTAAAGTCACAGAAAGGAGCGCCACGAGATTCTTATAGTCCAAACACGTACGTTTTTAGGTGCAATATTCTCCATCGAGGCCGACGCGTTTCATGGGTTTCAATAGACGACCTTCATCAGGGATCTAAACTTTTAGACTGAAGGAGATCTGGACAATGATTATCCAGAGATTTACAGCCTGCTTTGGTCACAGGTTAAAAGAAACGTTGTCACAAGGACAGGAAATGAGGACAAAGTCAGTAGACATGCGTGGAATATTCCTCTCTCTGGATCTGGTGGACGCCATCATTGCGGCTGTGTGCACAGATGGCTCAGCGGTTCTCTAGTTCCATTTCACACTTTCATGACATTTCCCAGCACACTGCTAAACGTTTGACATTTTTTGGGGTGCATAATCATCCAATTTAGATGGGAGTACGGAAGGCCGTGTCGTATTGGCAGGAAATGGCCGTAGGACAAAGAGGTAGAACTTGCTGTCAGGAGGAAGCGGCTGATTGATACATATCCCTGACAATGGCTCTGGGTAAATGTAAGGAGGGATTCAGCCCTCCACAGAACCAGCCATTGTTCTTCCTATACAATACGCTGCGGAGAATCCTCCGGGACAATGATGCTAAATGGATGGACAGTCTTGTGCCTTCCACCTCCGGTGGTCTCTTCCACCTAACGTCTAACCCCCGTGAGACCCCTGGACTGTCCTATTGTCTGGGCCAGCCGTTGCTGAATTTTGGACTTCAGGGGTGTGGCCGATGAGAGATGGGGGGGTGGGGGGGACTCCATTGTGATCCCTCATGATCTTTGTGCTGGAATGTGTATGAAGCCAATTGATGTATAGAATCAATACATGTACATTGTCAGGGGGGACCCACTGAGGCAGAGAGGACTTACTCTCAGCTTGTAAAAGTGGAACGTCAGGGAAGATGGGAAGAGATTTATGGCCAAAATAGGGAGAATAAAGGTCTTGTGCAAACACTGCCAGAAGCATTCAAGAAACCAGGATTGTGTGTTTGAGTCTTTTTAGACCAGCGGTGGTCAACCTTCTCGATATGGGGGGGAGGCTCATGTGCGGCCCACAATATAACCAAAGGGCTGCACATAAAATTCAGTAAATATTTATTATCAGAGACTGCAGACACAAATAGGATATAGTCAAAGACTAGGGACAAGATACAAGAGATGGTCAAAGACTTGGGATGTAATACAGGAGAAGGTCAAAGACCGCAGACATGATCCAGGAGATGTTCAGAGACTGCGGACATGATAGAGGAGACGGCCAGACTGCGGACATGATACAGGAGACATTCAGAGACTGCGGACATGATACAGGAGACATTCAGAGACTGCGGACATGATACAGGAGACATTCAGAGACTGCGGACATGATACAGGAGACATTCAGAGACTGCGGACATGATACAGGAGACATTCAGAGACTGCGGACATGATACAGGAGACATTCAGAGACTGCGGACATGATACAGGAGACGGTCAGAGACTACGGACACGATACAGGAGACGGTCAGACTGCAGACATGATACAGGAGACAGTCAGAGACTGCGGACATGATACAGGAGATGGTCAGAGACTGCGGACATGATACAGGAGACATTCAGAGACTGCGGACATGATACAGGAGACATTCAGAGACTGCGGACATGATACAGGAGACGGTCAGAGACTACAGACACGATACAGGAGACGGTCAGACTGCAGACATGATACAGGAGACAGTCAGAGACTGCGGACATTATACAAGAGACCTTCAGAGACTGCGGACATGATAGGGGAGATGGCCAGACTGCGGACATGATACAGGAGACGGTCAGAGACTACGGACACGATACAGGAGACGGTCAGACTGCGGACACGATACAAGAGACGGTCAGAGACTGCGGACACGATACAAGAGACGGGCAGAGACTGCGGACACGATACAAGAGACGGGCAGAGACTGCAGACACGATACAAGAGATGGTCAGAGACTGTGGATATGCTATAGGATTTGCTGGAGAGTGGAGACCTATGTCATAGACTGGAAACATGTTACATGAGTGTGCTGGAAATTACTATTACTACAAGGCAATAGGGAAACACAGATTCGTGTCTGCAGGGGCCCCGAGGACTGCACAAAGAGTGCCAAAGGCTGCATGCGTCCTCTGGGCCACAGGTTGGGCCCCAGGGTTTAGACAAAGCGATTTCCTTTCAGTGCATGAAGTGTGTTCATTCTCTATGGAGATCCCATCCTGTTTTTCTCACAACTTGGCATTTTTCTGGGGCAGATAGCAAACAAAACAGCAATTTTTTAGAAAATTGCAACCACTTTCACTCAGATTAGAATTAGTAATCCGAAGATGGTTGAGCGAATGAAGGAAATCTGCCAACCGATGAACTGGCCAGGGAACTTGTAATCAGTTTTATGGATTGCTGTAGATTTAATACCAAGGCTTTTTTACAGGGAGAACATGGAGAACGCACCTCCCGTGCCGAATGTATGTAATGGCAAGGGGTGCTGGGATGCGATGGTCTGCTGATGCTGGCTGTTGATCGGGGTGTGATCGGGGTAGTTGGAGTTTGGTCACTTTTTCATTATTGTTGAAAAGGTGAACATTAAAGCATATTCTGTGGGTTCAAGGACTGTGCCATGTTACCGTGTACACCGTAATTACACACATGCTTTACACCCCACCCAGACCTCACCACTGCGTGTTGTGTATGCTACCTCATTATTCACCTCTGGGTGCCCTAGACCAGCGGTCTCCAAACTGCAGCCCAGGGTCTGGACGTGGGCTTTGCCTGGCTTTATCTGGCCCTTGCGGCACATAATTCCTCTCACTGACACCAATGATGAGACAATATTCCTTTCACTGACACCAATGATGAGACAATATTCCTTTCACTGACACCAATGATGAGACACCATTCCTCTCACTGACGCCAACGATAAGATACTGTTCCTCCCACTGACACCAATGTTGAGACACTATTGCTTCCACTGACACCAATGATGGGGCACTATTCCTCCCACTGACACCAATGATGGGGCACTATTCCTCCCACTGACACCAATGATGGGGCACTATTCCTCCCACTGACACCAGTGATGGGGCACTATTCCTCCCACTGACACCAATGATGGGGCACTATTCCTCCCACTGATACCAATGATGGGGCACTATTCCTCCCACTGATACCAGTGATGGGGCACTATTCCTCCCACTGACACCAGTGATGGGGCACTATTCCTTACACTGATACCAATGATGGGGCACTATTCCTCTCACTGACACCAACGATGGGGCACTATTCCTCTCACTGACACCAACGATGGGGCACTATTCCTCCCACTGACACCAACGATGGGGCACTATTCCTCCCACTGATACCAACGATGGGGCACTATTCCTCCCACTGATACCAACGATGGGGCACTATTCCTCCCACTGACACCAACGATGGGGCACTATTCCTCCCACTGATACCAACGATGGGGCACTATTCCTCCCACTGACACCAATGATGGAGCACCATTCCACTCACTGACACCAATAACGGGACACTATTTCTCGAATACCAAAAAAAGGGCAATGTTCACTCCCACCAGCTACAGTCCGACCCCTCTAAAGTCTGAAGGACAGTAAACTGGTCCTTTGTTTAGAAAGTTTGGAGACCCCTGTCCTAGACTGAACCCCCCCCCCCCCCCTACTAAAATAAAAAGTTATCTATGACCCTAAAATGGTGTACGGTTGATGAGATCTCCAATACTGTGCAAAGTGTTGCGTTTTCATGGAGTCATTCAACCCCAGGGGCGGACTGACCATTTGAGCACTCGGGCACTGCCCGAGGTCAGTAGGGGGCCCCATGAAATGCCCCTGGTACCTTTTTTATAGGATTTTTTGAGTGTGGGCAAGGACACAGGGGCCCCATGATCCCCTATTGCCCGGGGGTCCCATGAGTTGTCAGTCCGCCCCTGTTGAGCCCTTTTGTTCCTGCTGCTTCATAGTGACCACAAATGCTGCACACACATGCAGTGGAGGGGTACTGCATTCGAATGCTAAACGTTGGGTTGGAATACTAAAGCTCAGTCCTGCGAATGGTCCTCTAGTCCTAGAAATCCGGGCTAATCCCCGAAGCCTGACTCACAATACAAACAGCATCACGGACACTCTTGCACACCAGTGGATATAATAAGCAATGACGATAATTGGCAAAGAAATGCATAAAACCGCACATTTACGGGCGCCCCTACACAAGCGGAAATCGGCGAGATGTCTTCCATGGAAGTTGGGAGAGGAGCCGTAACACGAGCTGGCGTGTTCAGAATATTGCATTCTCCTGATGAGACAGAGCGAGCTCACATCGAACGCCACACCGAGCACATTCTCAGGCAGTTACACACTCCGCTCCGGCCCTGCGCGGATCGAGTAATTGAATGTAATGAAATGCAAGCGGAGAAAGAGAGAGAATTACTAATACTCATTGGAATCCTCCAACCTCTGCCAAGAAAAGAGAGAGAGAGAGCTCTTCGCAAAACCCAGCACTGCATTCTGCCCAAGAAGACGAGGCAAGCCTCCGGCGCGGATGAGGGTTTATCTATTGCCATCGAAACGCTGAGGAGTCCAGAGCACCTTGGGAAAGAGGGAGTTCAAACAGTCACCGATTAATTACTGCACAAAGGACGATGTTAAAGAGAAGAAAAATCCCTGCAATACGAGGCTGAAAGAGATACAGGAGGGGGTTGTAGATCTGTGGAGAGCGGCGGTCAGTGCAGAAGACGGCCATCATGAAATTGGGGGCATTTGGGGAAGTTATTTGACAAAAATGATGGCAATTTCACTGTTTTGAACCTGCCTTTCCTTGGAGAAAATGCTGCTGTATGCTCCTTCCAGTGCTGGTCGAATAACTGGAAGCAGTTGGTTGCATGCGCCCCAGTAGTGGTGGTCTGCCCAGTGAGGTCTCAACAAGTCAATTGTTGAGGGCTTTTGGTGACCAGTTCTAGAGGGAGCAGTTTGCTCCTTCCATTGCTGCTCATATAATTAGAAGCAGTTGGCCACATGATTAGGGATGCTGATATGGCAGTACAGCTGGCCCTCCTGTACCGGGTCCGGGCCCCATCAGTTTAAAAGGGGGGCCCGGACACCTGCCCGGCAGAGGGCTGGCTGTACTACCTTACTGCCAACTCCTGTGGCTCCCCCTGCAGCGCTGATGGCTTCTCCTTTTTCTCCCTCCGGCTACACTGCAGGGGGATCGGTATCTGTGCCCCCCACCCCTCTGCTGCCCCCCTCTCCTACAGAGCTTCCCTCCTCTCCTGCCGGCAGCTGCTCTGGGCACACAAGGGGATCATTTCAGGATGGAGAGCGGGGGCGCTGGTGAATGTGTCCTATTTACCGGCCCTTTCCTTTCCTGAGTGAAAACAGTGAGTGATCGGTACCGACTGCTCCTGTTTCCATTTATAACTGAAGCATAGTAAACTGTGTCCACTATGGATCGACTTGTCTACAACCAGCCTGTTGGGATTTTGATGAACAATCAGTGCCACTGGCTATAGCTGACAACACTGATCATTGTATTCTGATGGCGGGGAAGATTCCTTGCTGTTAGAATACAATAGCTCAGTTGGTGGATTCCCCCATCCACATAGAGTGTGTGGATGGGGAATCAGCTTCTTTTTTTTTTGTTCAACCCGCTGGTCGAATGAAAAATAATTAATCATGTATGGTCGGCTAAACTGTCGCTGTTATGCTATCATCTGAAAGCAGGGTTCGTCTTGCTCTCCAATATATCTTTGTTAGTGTAGGCCCTCACACTCTAACCTGAGTCAAAGGAAAAGGTTGTGTTCAGCTTCCCTCTTCAGGTGTATGGGAGTTGCGCTGTGGTAGTCTGTTCCAAACTCCTCCAAAGCTGCCTCCTAATTTATACAAGGGCATGTGGCTGCATTGGTTTTCTTTTTCAAGTATTTTTTACCTTTCATTTTCTCCTGGTGATCCTGCCAGTAACACATTTCATGTCCTGGTGTGACAACGCTCACTCACTGTGTATATGTAGGTGCAGCCTCATCAGTGCCCCTCGGTGCAGCTTCATCGGTGCCGCTTCATCAATGCCCCTTGGTGCAGCCTCATCAGTGCCGCTTCTTCAGTGCCCCTCAGTGCAGTCTCATCATTGCCGCCTCAGTGCCCCTCTGTGCAGCCTCATCAGTGCCCCTCAGTACCGCCTCAGCCTCAGTGCCCCTCTGTGCAGCCTCATCAGTGCCCCTCAGTAGTACCGCCTCATCAGTGCCCCTCAGTGCAGCCTCATCAGTACCGCCTCATCAGTGCCCCTCGGTGCAGCCTCATCAGTGCCGCTTCATCAGTGCCCCTCAGTGCAGTCTCATCAGTGCCCCTCTGTGCAGCCTCATCAGTGACCCTCATTGCAACCTCATCAGTGCCCCTCAGTGCAGTCTCATCAGTGCCGCCTCAGTGCCCCTCTGTGCCGCCTCATCAGTGACCCTCAGTGCAACCTCATCAGTGCCCCTCAGTACCGCCTCATCAGTGCCCCTCAGTGCAACCTCATCAGTGCCCCTCAGTGCAACCTCATCAGTGACCCTCATTGCAACCTCATCAGTGCCCCTCAGTGCAGTCTCATCAGTGCCGCCTCAGTGCCCCTCTGTGCCGCCTCATCAGTGACCCTCAGTGCAACCTCATCAGTGCCTCTCAGTGCAGTCTCATCAGTGCCGCCTCAGTGCCCCTCTGTGCCGCCTCATCAGTGCCCCTCTGTGCCGCCTCATCAGTGACCCTCTGTGCAACCTCATCAGTGCCCCTCAGTACCGCCTCATCAGTGACCCTCAGTGCAACCTCATCAGTGCCCCTCAGTACCGCCTCATCAGTGACCCTCAGTACCGCCTCATCAGTGACCCTCAGTACCGCCTCATCAGTGACCCTCAGTGCAACCTCATCAGTGCCCCTCAGTGCAACCTCATCAGTGACCCACAGTACCGCCTCATCAGTGCCCCTCAGTACCGTCTCATCAGTGCCCCTCTGTGCAGCCTCATCAGTGCCCCTCAGTACCGCCTCATCAGTGCCCCTCAGTACCATCTCATCAGTGCCCCTCAGTGCAACCTCATCAGTGCCCCTCAGTACCGCCTCATCAGTGACCCTCAGTGCAACCTCATCAGTGCCCCTCAGTGCAACCTCATCAGTGACCCTCAGTACCGCCTCATCAGTGCCCCTCAGTACCACCTCATCAGTGCCCCTCAGTACCACCTCATCAGTGCCCCCTCAGTACCGTCTCATCAGTGCCCCTCAGTACCACCTCATCAGTGCCCCTCAGTACCACCTCATCAGTGCCCCTCAGTGCAACCTCATCAGTGCCCCTCAGTACCGCCTCATCAGTGACTCTCAGTACCGCCTCATCAGTGACCCTCAGTGCAACCTCATCAGTGCCCCTCAGTGCAACCTCATCAGTGACCCTCAGTACCGCCTCATCAGTGCCCCTCAGTACCGTCTCATCAGTGACCCTCAGTACCGCCTCATCAGTGCCCCTCAGTACCGTCTCATCAGTGACCCTCAGTACCACCTCATCAGTGCCCCCTCAGTACCGTCTCATCAGTGCCCCTCAGTACCGTCTCATCAGTGACCCTCAGTACCACCTCATCAGTGCCTCTCAGTACCACCTCATCAGTGCCCCTCAGTACCGTCTCATCAGTGCCCCTCAGTACCGTCTCATCAGTGACCCTCAGTACCACCTCATCAGTGCCCCTCAGTACCACCTCATCAGTGCCCCTCAGTACCGTCTCATCAGTGCCCCTCTGTGCAGCCTCATCAGCGAACAAGAAAAATTACCTGTTTTCAAATTTTTATAACAGAAACTAAGAAAAGCGTTTTTTCTTAAATTTTTGGTCTTTTTTTTTTCAGCAGGCAGGCTGGGGAGATGATGCTGGACGTCCTCCAGCCAGGAAATGAGGCGGAGCTCTGTCTGACTTGCTGCAGCTTCTAATGCACATTGTGAGAAGCTCACAGTGTGCACTGAAATCAGAGTAAGCCATTTCAGTCCAGGAGCGGAGCCGCTACTGTGCAAGAATGACTGAAGACTGAAGGGGAGGCCGGAGGTCGGATCTAATGACCCAAATGTTAAAATTGCTAATTAATATATTGAAAACATCATCGACAAATAAAGACCAATGAATATTATTTTGGCCTTCTATGTGTCTCAAAAAAAAAAAAAAAAAAAAAAAAAGCAATATGAAGTGCAGATGAAGAGACGGCAAGGACTTGTCAGCGGAGATAATAAGCCCTCCGCGGCGTTTCACATTCCACCCCGACGACGGCTCTGACTATTATCGGTGGTTATTCGCCTTCAAACGAGCGCCTGGGGTGACATCCACACTTCACGCTGAGCCCTTCTCCACATTGTCCTCCTAATCCCCTCAGATGTCTGCCGGATTAGCAGGATCGCTGTACCACGGGGGAGCCATCTGTACCTGTCATTTCACAGCCATTATCCTGACTGCAGCGTTCAGAAAATGACAGGTTGGATTCTGGGACTTGTCCTTGTTCGTTCAGTGATGTCACTGCGCCCCTGCTGCCTCCTGCCTATATATACTGTATACCTAATGGAAGCTCTTCCCCTATCATTATATCTGCTGCTTCCTGCGTCAATGGCCACCTATGGAGCACAGCCAACAGGTCACTTAAAGCTGAACGCCAAGCAAACACCTAGCACACAGGTTGTATATACAGTGTATATATACACACACTATATCACCAAACGTATTGGCCCCGCCCTCCAAATCATGTGATTCCGGTGTTCCAATCCCCTCCATGGACACAGGTGTATACAATCAGCCCCTAGGCATGCAGACGGGCTTCTACAAACATTGGTGAAAGAATGGGTCGCTCTCAGGAGCTCAGTGACTCCAAGCGTGGTCCCGTGATAGGTGGTCACCTGTGCAATAACTCCATCCGTGACATTTCCTGTCTGTTATAATCCCACTAACAGTTGAGCGTGGAATATTTAGTAAAGTAGAAGCAACTGGGAACAACAGCAACTCAGCCACCAAGTGGTAGGCCACGTCACATGACAGAGCGGGGTCAGCGCATGCTGAAGCGCACAGTGCGCAGAAGTCGCCAACTGTCTGCAGAGTCAATAGCTAAAGACCTCCAAACTTGGTGTGGCCTTCAGATGAGCCCAACAACAGTGCGTAGAGAGCTTCATGGAATGGGTTTCCATGGCCGAGCAGCTGCATCCAAGCCGTACATCACCAAGTGCAATGCAAAGCGTCGGATGCCGTGGTGTAAAGCACGCTGCCACTGGACTCTAGAGCAGTGGAGACGTGTTCTCTTGAGGGACCAATCATGCTTCTCTGTCGGGCAATCCAATGGACGTGTCTGGGTTTGGCGGTGGCCAGGAGAACGGTACTTGCCTGACTGCTTTGTGCCAAGTGTAAAGTTTGGTGGAAGGGGGATTATGGTGTGAGATTGTTTTTTAGGGGTTGGGCTTGGCCCCCTAGTTCCAGGGAAAGGAACTCTGAAGGCGTCAGCATACCAAGACATTTTGGACAATTTCATGCTCCCCACTTTGTGGAAAGAGTTTGGGGATGGCCCCTCCTGTTCCAACATGACTGCACACCAGTGCACAAAGCAAGGTCCATAAAGACATGGAGGAGCCAGTTTGGGGTGGAGGAACTTGACTGTCCTGCACAGAGTCCTGACCTCAACCCCATAGAACACCTTTGGGATGAATTAGAGCAGAGACTGCGATCCAGGCCTCCTCCCCCGACATCAGTGCCTGACCTGACAAATGTGCTTCTGGAAGAATGGTCCAACCTTCCCATAGACACCCTCCTAAACCTTGTGGACGGCCTTCCCAGAAAAGTTGAAGCTGTTATAGCTGCAAAGGGCGGGGCCAACTCAATATTGAACCCTACGTACTAAGATAAACCGTTTCTGGTGCAAAGAGCCTGGCCCTGCCTACTTCATGTAATGACGGTCCTTGGCACTCAGACCCAGATTCAGATCCTGCACACTTCCTGGTATACTGAACATCTGATGTTGGCCATCTTTTGGTTCTTTTGCTGTCTGTCACGGTATTATAGATTGTGTGCTTTTTTTATTGTCATCTTTCTGCAAGGTCTTATCTTAAAGCGTCCATCCACCTGGAACCCATACTTCAGGGTGCGGGAGCTGCTGGAGAGGTATCCTCCCTGACAGTCTCTTCTATATCTCAGGGAATTGATTGCTGAGATCCCTGTGTTGAGTTCCTGCTGCACCCATTCTAGGGGGTTCCCACAATCCCTGCATTGGGTTTCCAGGTCTGTACACCTGCTTTGCCCATTATGATAAACTCCAACCATCCCCGTGCTGAGTTCCCGCGTCTGTACACCCGCTGTGCTCATTATAAGGGGTCCCCACCATCCATGTGTTGAGTTCCCGGGTCTGAACACCTTCTGTGCCCATTATGAGGGGTTCCCACCATCCTTGTGCTGAGTTCCCAGGTCTGTACACCTGCTGTGCCCATTATGAGGGGTTTCACCATCCCTGTGCTGAGTTCCCAGGTCTGTACACCCGCTGTGCCCATTATGAGGGGTTTCAGCATCCCTGTGCTGATTTCCCAGGTCTGTACACCTGTTTTGCCCATTATGAGGAGTTCCCACCATGCCTATACTGAGCCCTAGGCCTACATTTCTGCTGTGTCCATTATGAGGGGTTCAGGAACAAAGTTTACAATTCTGGCAGAGAGATCTCCCTGTTGGTGAATCTAAGACAAAAGGTCAGGGAAGGACCGATCCTTTAAAAGAATATGTAAGCTACCATTGATGACCTCTCCTCCTGAAAATGCCCTTGAAGGTCTCTTAACTATTCCTGGCCAGGCAGATGTTTTTTTTGCAGGTAAAATTCCAACCTATCATTTTCCAAGAAGCTGTACAAGAGAGAGAAAGAGAGAGAGAGAAAGAGACAGACCAGATGACAGGTATGAAGGTTGGAGGTCACCAACATGTGAGAATTTACGGTCAGTAGAAGGGTGGACCTGGGTATGCGGTGAATTTTTCCTCTGTTGTGTTTATTTTTTTATGTCCTGTCCATTATCAGCTTCTTACTTTCACAGAAAAAAAAAACACGCACTGATTTTCTTGTTTCTGCTTCTCTCATTGTCAGCTAATCTACGTATTTCCCCGTGCGAGGGTCTGCTGAACCATGTCGGGCGTGTCAGGACTGGAGCAACAATTCAAAACAAGGACCAGCAGAGCACACACACGGACACTGCAGCCCGGCACATCCTCACGTCCCAGATCCGGGCCATCCTGGTCACATGGCACTCAGCCCCCATATCCTGAGACGGGGTACCCTGAGAAAGAATTATTGAGGAAGGGAAATATATCTGAGGATTCCCTACTGAGGAAGGGAAATCTGAGAAGACCAGAGAGAGGAAGGCTAGTAGCAGTTGGGTTTGTCATGTGAAGATGTTTCATAGCTTCTCCAAGTCCCATGTTCAGTTGGAACATCCTTAACATTACAGAACAAACCCAGTTGAATGTGACCAACTACTATTAGATATACCATGACCTGGAGCCATGGGAAATCCCCTAAGACACACAGCTAAATAGAACTTGAACTGTACCACACCAAAAACATAGTCTCCAAATAAAAACTGTCAATTTAAATATATTGTCAGGAATATCCATCCATCCCGCACGGATCACCTCTGGTAAGTCTGCCTGCCTCTTCCCATCAGACTCCGTTCCTGCACTCCCCTGCCAGTACTCTCTACCACAGCCGGACGCACTCAGGGGTCGCGACCTGGTTCCAGTCTACACCAAGTCCATCCCCACCATCAGGGGCCCTGGTGAATAGCAGGCTGGTACTTAGACCCCGCGCCCTGGGGAAATCCGTGCTGTGGGCTGCTAGAGACACTGCCAGGTGGCACCTGACAGTACCTTACGGCCTGCCTGACCATTCCACCTCTCCAGCCTGACTACACCTGTGTTCTTGAAGCCTGCTACTTCCCTGTGTCAGTCCACACATTTCTGGTCATACCCGGATCCCTAACATATATAATGAAAAACTGTACAAGTAAAATCTTCACGAAGACAGTTACACGATGAATTATATTAACTCTTCATATTAATTCCTGCCATGATGCACGTTCAGAGATTCCATTCATAGCATCCTGTGTTCTTCGACACGTTTCGCAGGAAAGGGACTACTTCTTTATGAAGATAAGCGGATTATGTATAAAAGTCAATTGTAACAAATGTGGAAAGGGAGATGCAAGGCAGAATCAGTCACATGGATGGATAGACCAACAGTATAGTGCGGTTGATGACCGCACTATACTGCTCCATGGATTGTCGAGCCTTCTAGAGCATCTTTGGTTTCTGGTCTGCCTATCCATCCATGTGGCTGATTTTACCTTGCATCAACTTTTACTCATTTGTTGCAATTGTGACAGACAGTTATAAATAATCAGTTTATTTCCTGAAGAAGCAGGCTCTGCCGTACGAAACGCGTAAAACACAATCAAGATGCTAGGAATGGAATCTCTGAAAGTGCATCATGGCGGGAATTAATATGAAGGATTAATGTAGTGCATTGTGTAACTGTCTTCATGATGATTTTAAATGTACAGTTTTTCTTGATATGTTTAACCCCTTCCTGCCAGCCATACGCATATATGTGGCCTCTCGGCGGGTGGGCCTTAATGCTGAGAGGCTGCATTTATGAGTACCTAAAGACAAACAGAGCTTGCCGAGAGTGCGCGCCCCGCGTGCTCCCGGCATACTTACCATCGCCCGACGGAAAGCTCCCAATCTTTACTTGCGATCTGGAGCTTCCTGATTATGTGACCACTGTGACCGCCAATCATGGCGGTCACATGATCAGAAACACCGCCCTGCCTGCCAGCATCTGAAGCCCCTTAAAGGGCCAGGAGGTGGCAAGGGGTTAACTTATGAAAAAAAGGGCATCCAAGAGGCTTGGGACTTTGATACAAGCAGGGGTGGACTGACCATTTGGAAACTCTGGCACTGCCCGAGGGCCCGGGGTCAGTAGGGGGCCCCATGAGATGCCCCTGGTACCTTTTTCATAGGCTTTTTTGAGTTTGGTCAAGGACACAGGGGCCCCATGATCTCCTATTGCCCGGGGGCCCCATGAGTTGTCAGTCCGCCCCTGGATATGAGTTTAAACAAGGTAGTGAGAGGGCAAAAAACATTTGAAGAGCTCAATGGCTCAGGTTAGGCTGCTCAAAACAGGCAAGGCCATCCTACTGTGGGTACTCCAGCAGGTTACCAGAGGAAGACGTGCATATATGGAAGGAGCGCCAGACCAAAAGATAAGAGTCCAAATTAATTTATTAATGTTATAAGACATTCAACGTGTTTTGGGGGTCAAAGGAGCCCCCCCTTCATCAGGGCTACAATAAAATATAATATAATGTAAATAAATTGTGATTTTATCAGTCACAATTATTTTTGCATTATATTAGGGAGGGTGTCTACATTTTTTTTTTAACACAAATGTTTTACCTCACATAGAATACTGCCTGGTAGCTCTTGGCAAACAATCCAACTCATTCTCAGACCGCACCAAAGCCAGCAGAAATTCAGCAATGATCTAAGAATCAATGACATCAACACTGGATTGTGGTCTAGGAAAAACCACAAACTTTTCACTGCAGAGATCGAAGGCTCAGAGAATCACCAAGAACTAAATATTTCAGCATATGAACACTGGAAAATACTGATTAAAAAATGGACGGGGGTGTTGGTGATTCCCCATAGGTCAATGTCCAATTATCAGGTTCCCTGCCCTTATGTGATAAGGCCTGTCTAATCTACAGCCTCCACCCCACCATCCAACATTTGGCCATTTTGTCTGGAAAAATCAATTCGGATCAGTAATGGTTATGGGCATGTGGAGGCTGGGACACCACCAGCCCACAAGGAATCACAGAAAAGCCCACAAGACAATCACAAAGTATATTATGTGGATGCCAGGAATTCAGGATGGAGGATGTATATGTGGTTCTGATACTCTCTGTGTTTTGGAATTGCATGCAATAACTTTGTGGGCAATCTTTAATTGATCTCCATTTATATAGCACCCTGTTGCTTCAGAACCATCGTTTAGGACAATTCATATTCTCAAAAGGAATGTGAACAGTTTATATTCCTATCAGGGGCGGACTGACAACTCATGGGGCCCCCGGGCAATATGGGATCATGGGGCCCCTGTGTCCTTGCCCAAACTCAAAAAAGCCTATGAAAAAGGTACCAGGGGCATCTCATGGGGCCCCCACTACCCCGCACCCTCGGGCAGTGCCAGAGTTTCCAAATGGTCAGTCTGCCCCTGATTCCTATGGTGTGACCAGTTTATTTGCGTGGTACTGGCTGAGGACCATATTGAGTTTGTCTAAAATTTTTATCCATACAAGACTGATTATCCTTGGACAAGTGAGATGTGCAGCTGTAGATCAGGGTTTCTCATCCAGGATTTCATGGAACCCTAGGGTTCATTCACAGGCTGCTAGGAGATCCTTTAGCAATGCCTCTCAGATAAGTTCCCACTGACACCATTGATCTTTTTTGCTATCTGTAAGGGGGTCATTCTTCCCAATGACCACAAGTGTAAGGAGCGTTCTTCCCAATGACCACAAGTGTAAGGGGGTAATTCTTCCCAATGACCACAAGTGTAAGGAGCGTTCTTCCCAATGACCACAAGTGTAAGGGGGTAATTCTTCCCAATGACCACAAGTGTAAGGGGGTAATTCTTCCCAATGACCACAAGTGTAAGGAGCGTTCTTCCCAATGACCACAAGTGTAAGGGGGTAATTCTTCCTAATGACCACAAATGTAAGGGGGTAATTCTTCCCAATGACCACAAGTGTAAGGAGCATTCTTCCCAATGACCACAAGTGTAAGGGGGTAATTCTTCCCAATGACCACAAGTGTAAGGAGCGTTCTTCCCAATGACCACAAGTGTAAGGAGCGTTCTTCCCAATGACCACAAGTGTAAGGGGGTAATTCTTCCCAATGACCACAAGTGTAAGGGGGTAATTCTTCCCAATGACCACAAGTGTAAGGGGGTAATTCTTCCCAATGACCACAAGTGTAAGGAGCGTTCTTCCCAATGACCACAAGTGTAAGGGGGTAATTCTTCCTAATGACCACAAATGTAAGGGGGTAATTCTTCCCAATGACCACAAGTGTAAGGAGCATTCTTCCCAATGACCACAAGTGTAAGGGGGTAATTCTTCCCAATGACCACAAGTGTAAGGAGCGTTCTTCCCAATGACCACAAGTGTAAGGGGGTAATTCTTCCTAATGACCACAAATGTAAGGGGGTAATTCTTCCCAATGACCACAAGTGTAAGGGGGTAATTCTTCCCAATGACCACAAGTGTGAGGAGCATTCTTCCCTCTGGCCATCACACTAATGTACCATGGGTTGTAGCTATAGTCCTTTTTAGCAGAGGTTCCCTGAGACCAGAAAGGGTTTCTCTCTGTTGAGAAAGGCTGCACTACACTGTCCTTTTTTACAAGAACTCAATGCTGGGGCATTGAATTCTGTATGGTGTCTGCTAAGATCTCATTATTACAAAAAGACCGGTAAGACCAGGATGGAAGGAACCACCACTTCATTCTCTAGTTGGCAGTTGCAGAAAAACATTTAGAATACTGTACTTTAGCATGTGTTTTTTTTTTTTATGACAAGGCCTGTTGTTGGAGTTCCCCCATTGTGATATCCATAGATGTATGGACACAACAAAGAACGTCTCAGACTGTTAGTTGGACCTTTCAGTTTTACTTCTTTTTTTTTTTTTGATTTGTTGTATGGATGGATGGATGCTGAATCTAGGATAACGTTCGTATATATTATTATCACAGCTGGGGCCCTGCTATGCTCGGTCTCTTACACGGCATTTTAATGATTTTGTCAGTAAATAAATTTATAGGTTGCAACTGGCCATGCGGTGTTTCTATGGTCACGACTATTTTTGAACTGGGTTCTCAGAATATTTTGGGTCATTTGTATTTGGTTACGCTGTTGAATTACTTGTATGGAGTTTTTTTTTTTTGTTTGTTTGTTTTTTTGTATGTGTTCTCCATTGTGCAATTGCAACGAAATCCCCGCTTACTACAAAGATGGGGATGAAGAAGAGGACACTTTGCTGACTTACTTTTCTTTTCACAAAAATGTATGGCTAAAGGATGGTCTGCTGCTAAAGAAGCCCATATATCAGTCAGGTTTTTTTTTTTGTTCCCGAATCCACACACTTGATGTGGATGAGGGAATCCTCCGGGTGAGCTGTTGAATTTTGATAGCGGCCAGACTTTCCTGCCATCGGAATACTCTGATCAGCATTGCAGTCTATAGCCTGCAGCGCTGATTAAGCAGGGAAAATCCGGCAGGATGGTTGTACAGATGTCAATCAGTAGATTGACTTCTGTACAACCCCCCTGACCATACATGGATCAAAATTTGAACCATGCATGACAAGTTTTTATCACTAGTTCCAGACCTTGGGCATGCTACACATGCACCCCAAAAAATCATCATTGTACACAGGACGTGTGTAGCACGTCCAGTCTCTCTGTACTGCTTCTGGAACCCCGTCAGTATGCTCAGAGAAGATATCGGTAGCTCTAGCTGTCAAAAAAGCAGTCTGACAGGGTTTACAATAAGGCCCCTTTTCAGATGGAACAGACCCGCCAGCAGATCTGTTTGCTCAGCGGGGGGATCTCTCCGCTGATCCCCGCTGAGCAAGCGGATGACAGGTCTGTGTCCACTCTGCTGTGCAGAGCAGACACAGCCTGCTTTTTCCTATAGGGCGGTGGGATGGAAACGGACCGCCTGTCCATTTCCACTCAACTGTCATCCGATCTGATCCACCAGACGGATCCCAATCAGGATTGGATCGGATGCCAGGGTGGTCAGCGGACACCCGTCGGTCCATAGAGGTCTATGGGTGGTCCAATTGGACCGTCAGTGTGAAGGGGGCCTAACATTTACTCAGAATATAGAATGATACAATGTAGCATACTGTTACATTTGTATCTTTCTGTTCATCCTTCTGCAGCTCTACAAATGATGCCAGTTAAAGCAATTAAAAGGACCCTAACCCATCTATTTGAGCTTTTTTGAACCATAACTTCCACCCCAGCTGTTTAAGGTGGACACACCCTGGTTTTTTTTTTTTTTTCATTCAATGGATGGATGAAAGGAATGAAATACATCCCCCACCTCTCCAACAGGACAATGTATTCTGCCAGCAACGCATCCAATCATTTGGCTGCAACCATTGAACAAGAAATGTTTTCCAATATCTCCCTCTAACAGATGTCAATCAAACGATGGAGTCCTGATGACCGGGGAAGGCCAAATTTTGATTGAGCTTTAATCATCCCAGTTGTGCTTTTTAATTTTTTTTTTTTCTTTTTTAAACTTTCTGGTGACAACTGCAAAATGTTGAGGTATCAGCAGAACAGAGGGAGAATCTTCGGATTGGAAAACCTGTGACAGATCTAAGAGGGGATTATGCCTGACATTGGAAAAATATCCTCTCACTTTCTGTTGATTCTTTAGAATAGGAAATGAAGGAAAATCTCCCAAATAATGCACAGATGGCCCAAAAAAAGTGGCTTGAACCGTCACCCACTCTATCCTAAATGAAAATTGAAGAAAATGTCTTTAGATTTGCTTCAACCACACAAATACAATTGGTAGAGCTTGGTTCCCCAGGTCAGATGCCTATTCCTCCTCATGGCCGCCATCAGGGCACGGTACACCTCGCGCTCATTTGCACACCTTGTTTTTGTTAAAATTCCTCCGCGGTTCAGCTTGAGAAGATATTTGTTCGCTATTATTAGAATTCATTTTCCATTTCAACACATGAAGGCCGTTTCACGCCAATTAAAAAAACTGGCTGACTTTTGTGTTTTTCCAAAAATATGTATAAACACAAGCGTGACCGTGCAAATGTTATCACCTCATTCCTCTGTAATCGGGAGGGAGTGAAAGTAAAATGCCAGGGGCCACTCATAAGAGGAGCCGTACTCCTGCCATATCAGGCAAACACAGGATTGGTCAACCACACAGAAAAAAAGTGACTTTTTGAAGTTGGTAAACATTGTCATTTCTGGGTTTTATCAG